CTGGCTCTGAGAGGAGCTGCATGATTTCTGAGCTCACTTCCTCTTCCTCCCAGCATTCTGTTCTGTTTACTCTGCCTATCTAAATTCTGCCCTATCAGTTGGGCCAAGTTTCTTTATTAGCCAATGACTTTCCTCCATCATGGTTCTATGAAAGCAGAGACTGAACCAAGGACTTTGTGGGAAAGGCAAACACACTGCCTGCCATCTGAGCTATCCCCCAGCATCCATTTCTTACCCTGGCCTACTTCAGGACAAGGAAGAAACGCTGGAAGTGATGGCAGGACGGTAGAAAAGGCAAAGGTCAGCCTTGGGGAGGGGTGGGTGTGGGAGAGGGGGAGCGCCAGCCCTGGGGCCAATGACCGCAATTCCCAGGGCCAGCGGTGGGGGTGGGGGTGGGGGAGGAGGAGCGCTGGCGGTGGGGCCAACCACAGCGATTCCCAGGGCCAGCTGTGGGGGTGGGGGAGGGGTGGGGTGAGGGTGGGGCAAAAGGCAGCAATTCCCAGGTTTCAGAAAGGGAAGAACAACAGGAGCCTCCAAAGCAGAAAATGTGACTCTCTGGACGATGGCCAAAGGCCTTGAAAAGGACCAGAGGAGAGAGTTCACAAACGAACAAAACCCAGCCAGTAGCCCACGTGGCACTGGCACACACCGGGAATCTCTGCTCTGGAGGCAGGAATAGGAAAATTAAGAGTCCAAGGTCAAGAGCTGGAGAGGTAACTCAGTGGGCTGGTCTTTCAGAGGACCCGGGTTCAGTTCCCCATGACTCACAGTTATCTAAAACTCCACCAGGGGATCCAACACCCTCTTCTGGCCTCCATGGGCACCAGGCAGGCATATAGAACCATTCAGGCAAATACTAATAAACAGAAAATAAAAATACACAAATTCTTTAAAAAAAAAATAAAAAAGAGTTCAAAGCTAATGTGGGTCACACAGTGAGCCTTGCTTGTATCAAACAGGAGAGGAGGAGACAAAGACAGAGACGGAGAGACAGGAGGGACTGACCGACTGACACAGCTAGCTAGGGACCGTGGCGAAAGTTCTGCTCAGTTTGGTAGAGAAACTAATAACCACACAGCTGTTGTAGAATAATCTTTTGTACACTGTGAAGATGTGTCACTCAGGTTTAATAAAAAGCTTGGAAAAAAAAGGGCCAATAACCAGGCAGGATTTTGGGGGCAGAGAGGATGCTGGGAAGAAGGGAGTCACTAGCCAGACACAGAGGATGCGAGACTGCAGGAGGGAAGTAAAAGACGTGGATGAATAGAAATGGGGTTGATTTAAGGTATAAGCGCTAGGGGACAAGCCTAAGCTATAGACCGAGCTTTCATAATTAATATGAATCCCCGTGCCATGTTTTATTTTGTTGTTGTTGTGAGCTGGCAGCCCAATGAAAAATCCGACTACACACAACCGTTTTGCACCATGAAGGACAAAGCACAAGGCTGTGTGAAGATTCTTCTTTCCTGTCCCTCCTTCGTGCTGCCTCCACAGGCCATGGCTTGCCCCGGAGAAAGCCCCTGAGGTATTTTCTCTTCAACAATATCCAGATAGGAAATCCATCACCGAACTTAGTGGGACACAGAACTAAATCTCTAGATAGCTTTACTGATTTCTCTTGCCTTTACGTGGCCTCGACAGGCCAGATTCATGCTCTCTCTTCCTTCAGCCTCCAGTGTTCCAGGGCATGGGCCTGTGCCCCCGCACCTGGCTCTCTCCCACCCTTACGACCCCAACAACAATCCGAGTGACCAGGAGGCTCATCAGGAGGCTCAGAGCCTCATTTCCTCAGTTTTTTTTTTTTCCTTCTTTATTTCTTTTTTAGCTTCAGGAAATTTGAGTTCACAGTGATTTATCTTGGAGAATAAGCCTATGTAATGTCATTACAATTAGGAAGAGGGGTTCATCCTGCCATCAAATCACCTTCTACTTCCTTGTATTTGCTCCCCTCACCCCCCAAAGGGAGGAGTTGAGAAAGGCCAGGCTTGGTCTAAGGGCTCTGGAATCTGCTTATGATTTATAAAGAATGTTATGTCTAGAGCCAGGCCTGCTGGCACCCACCTTTAATGTTAGCACTCGGGGGGACAGAGGCAGGTGGATCTCTTTGAGTTACAGCCCAGCCTGGTCTACACATTAAGCTCCAGGCTGGCCACTGCTACACAAGGAGATCCTGTTTTCAACTTTTAAAATCTATAGCACTATGTAGCTTTGAAAATTATAACTAAGACACAATAGTACAACTATTAAGTTAAAGACACTTTTTACATACATTTAAAACAGGGTCTCATGTACAGCCCAGGAAAAGGAAGGAACCAGGGCCACAGACAACATCACTGAAGGGAGATGTAACTTAGGTCTCATATTCTTGCTCTAGAGCCAAATACCTTTCTCTTCCCTTCTGCATGCCTTCAGGCTCATGTCTCCCCTAACCCTAAACCGCACTCAGTGAAAGGTAAATGTCAGCTCTGCCTCAGGTCCTGCCGGAGGCTTCTGTGTCCCTGCTCCTGTCCTGAGCAGGCCACTAGCCACTCATCCAGACTGTGAACATGTGGGCGATCATCGCCTTGCTCAGTGAGAGAGAGCCTCGGTGGGGAGGGAACTGGGACTCCCGGAGGAGGGAATCAAGTATCTTTGGGGAGAAGTTATGATAAGCTCATCCTTTTTCTCCCATGGCACTGATGTGGAGTTGGCCTTTATTAGTAGGTCTAGGTAATTACTCAAGTAAGGGGCAAACAATCTTCGGTCGTTTTTGTTGTTTTGTTTTGTTTTGTTTTTCTTCCAGAAGTAAAAGGCCACCAAGGCAGCTAGAAACTGAGAGCAAGCACGGAAAGACAAGCCCCAGCAGACCGTCGGGTGAGATTTGAGGAAGTAAATTGCAGAAACGAAGCTGTGAAGGTGGGGAAGCTGAGAGACTTCTGGTGTACACTATGACCGCACTGAAGCTTCTGCAGGAGTCCAGCTACTACACAGAGAAAAAAAAAAAAAACCTGCGGCCACCCAACTCGGTTCTCAGAACACAAAGAATAACAATCTTGATACTTTGATACTTTGCCATCCCAACTCCCTTCCAGTAAACTGCCACACACAGGGTGGAGTGAAGGCTGCATGCTCCTTTGGCTTTGGCAATAGTAAATTTGGAACTTCTTATCAAAAGTTACACAGAGCCGGGCGGTGGTGGCACACGCCTTTAATCCCAGCACTCGGGAGGCAGAGGCAGGCGGATCTCTGGGAGTTCGAGGCCAGCCTGGTCTACAAGAGCTAGTGCCAGGACAGGAACC